AAGCACCCAAAGCTTACAATCAGAGAGCTAGCTCACTTAATAGGCATTTTGGTGTCTAGTTTTCCTGGAGTGCAATATGGTCCATTACATTATAGGTCATTAGAAATGTTAAAATCTGAAGCGCTTAAATCAAGCAAAGGAAACTTTGAGCCACTGGTCTCCACTAATAATGAATGCGTAGAAGACCTACAGTGGTGGGTTGATAATATTGAAAATGCTTTTAAGCCGGTTGAGAGACCCGAGGCTGATATGGGGGGCGATGGACTAGCCTCGAATCCCAAGAACACATTAATAGTTTAGAACTTAAAGCTTTGTTCATGGGTTTAAAATCATTCTATAGAAATTTGCAACACAAGCATGTACAAACCTTTATGGATAATACAACAGCTGTTGCTTATGTAAATTCCATGGGGGGGGGGGGACAAAGTCCACCCAGGTCAACAAGCTTGCAAAGGAAGTTTGGAATTGGTGCATTGAGCATGGGGTGCACCTTACTGCAACACATATCCCAGGGTCTACAAATGTAGACGCCGACAAAGAATCAAGGCATTTCAATGACAACACTGAGTGGATGCTTAGACCAGATATATTCAAACAATTAGTGGGAAAGTTTGGTTCCCCCAACATTGATTTGTTTACCTCGCGCTTGAATAGGCAGGTCTCATGCTTTGCGTCGTGGCGACCTGACACAGAGGCTACACATATTGACGCATTTAGCATTGCCGACTGGTCTAAGTTTTCTTTTTTTGCATTTCCACCATTCAGTCTAGTTGCACAATGTCTACAGAAAATGGAATGGGATCAAGCAGAAGGAATAATAGTGTTGCCGAATTGGCCAACACAACCTTGGTTTTCCAAACTGATGCAGCTGTTAACAGAGACTCCTTGGATCATACCGAAGAGCAAAACAACACTGCAGCTACCATGGGACGTACACAGGGTTCACCCTCTACACAGCAATCTCACGCTTCTTGCTTGTCAGATATCCGGGAATCTTATGAATCACAAGGTATATCTGCAGCAGCAACAAGTATTATTGTCAGCTCCTGGAGACCCAGTTCTGGAAAACTATACCAAAGCTACAATAACAGATGGAAGACATACTGTGGTAAGAGGCAGATTTGATTTCATTCGATCTCCTATAGGAGTAGTGCTTGACTTTTTTGTCCAGTTATATGAAAATAGTGCAGGTTACAGTACTATGAACACAGCAAGATCTGCACTTTCATGTTTAGTTGCACCAATAGACAATTATCCATTGGGTGCTCACCCTACGGTTAGACGATTTTTGAAAGGTGTTTTTCAGCTGCGGCCAGCGACACCTCGATATCACAATATTTGGGATGTCCAAGATGTGCTACATCATTTAAAGACATTGGTCCCCATAACAGATATCACGTTGAAAGAGTTAACGCTGAAGTTGACTATGCTAATTGCGCTGGTATCGGCTCAGAAGCGTCAATCTATTCAATTGTTAAATATTGAATATATGGTCAAAGATGACACTTCTTACGTGTTTACTATAAGAGACCATATAAAACAGTCAAGACCTGGATATACACCACCATGTATAGAATTAAAGGCATTCCCACACAATCCCAACATTTGTGTTGTTTCAACATTAAACGAATACATGAACAGAACTGTTGCATATCGAGGTGAGCATAAACAGTTGTTGTTAAGTTATGTTAAGCCATTTAAGCCAGTCACAGTGGACACTATAAGTCGATGGCTAAAATTGGTTCTGGTACAGGCGGGTATTGATACCACATTATTTAAAGCCCACAGTACACGGTGTGCAGCCGTATCCAAGGCGAACGCGAATGGATTACACATAGATGATATCCTTAAAACTGCTGGATGGAGTTCAGAGTGCACATTTGCAAAGTTTTATAATAAGAGTATTAAGACGCCAGACAAGTCATTTGCTACTGTTGTATTGGAATCAAACAATGAATGATGTTAAATGTTTATATTTGTTTAACAATGTGTGATTTGTTTGGTTTATGTGGGGCTGAGCTTTGAAATCTCATGGGAGCCCGCTATGCGGGTGACAAGGTGGAATTTAGAAATTAAACGAGACTTACCGGGAAGTTGAAGTTTGATTGGAATTCCACCTTTTCACCAACGCAAAGGGCTCACATGCCCACCCTCCTCTCCCTATGGTGGTTTTCAGCCGCACATAAACATACTTTAATTAAAGACTGATCTGCTCAGGCGTAATGCTATCTCATGTAAGCCCTATGCGTTGATGACAAGGTGGAATTCCAATCAAACTTCAACTTCCAGATAAGTCTCGTTTAATTTCTAAATTAAGGTGGTGAACAATATTGGATGAGGGAACCAAAAAATCTTCCCCATACACCCGGTATTAATCAGTTTATTTCTATTGTATGAAGACATGGAAAAAACAGGGACAATATAAATATTGTTTGCGCAAGTGAAATTTATTTTGTATTAATTTACACCAGTTTATACCCAATTTCTATTTGTCTAAAAGTGTTAAGTGCACCAGGTCATTTTAAATCAAGATTTTATTACGTATTCGACAATCGTTTTTCTTGGACTATTTTGATTCTTTAAATTCATTTTATTTTCATCGTTATCGTTTTCATTGAGTAATAATAACCTTTCCAGTTATACCAATTTATGCCATCAGCAAAAGAACTGTGGTTGCCATGAAAATAGAAACCATTTAAATTCGAATAGTGACAGCCATTATACCACCATGCTCCGAGGTACGTTCGAGCACAATTTTCATCCATCATTTTGTCACGATCAGCATCTTTCGTTGAGAACTGCATACCATTTTGAAAATTTAAGGAGTCACCAGCAGTACCTATATCAAATTGTTGTAAATACGTCACGTTTTTTACGGATACAAAACACATGCATGAAAATATCTTGCAAGTAACGTGGAGGAGACTTCTAACTGCTCAGAAATAATATACCCGTGCATATTTGCTTCCATATAATTAAAGAACAAACATCTGAAAGATTACTTTTCATATGTTGTATGTATAGTTATAATTTCACAAAATTTTTAGGAACCAGCGCATTTAGTGAATAAAAGTACGTAGGTATATAAATATAATGTGTTTGCACTGATAACTAACATTGATCCTGTTGAGGTTTTACGAATATTTAGGAATGCTATAACATTTCGAGGATTTGCTTAATTTAAGATGTCTGCAAAAATTTACCTTCACATAAGGTTTTATTAACTTTTGAAAGCTATAAAATTTCGTCGCGGTGCTCAATCGCGTCCGGCCTTTCTGAAGGATAAACACGAATATGTTTGTGCAACAACTATTTCAAATACTTTTTTGCTTTGGGATTTTCGCCACACGAACAAATTACAACATGCTCCTTATAATAGAGTTCTCGCGAGTCATAGAACTGCAGACTCAAATTCAAATTACATAATTAGAATAATTATCAAGAAGAATGATATATCTATATTGGCTAAACTCGTCCAATCCTATTAATTAAAATGCAAAAACATTGCTTCAAAGATCTGAATTCCCGTGTCATCGAAGAGTAATTCTCAGTCTATAATTGGTATTCCCTATATTCTGAAGGACGTAAATCAATCAATAGTCGAGTCCAATTAGCCATTTTTCAATCGAGCTGCGGACTGGGTCTAGTCGCTTGTTTGGAGGGACAAAAATATACAATATGCCGAATATGGCATCTGGGAAGTTTTCCCATATTCCGAAAGTTACTTGTCCAGCTTGAAACGCAACAGTTACAATAAAGCATCTTTTAATTAATATATGTTCCTCCAAACGTCCCTCCAAACATCAACTAGACTCAGTCCTCTGCTCGATTGGGAAATGGCTAATCCTTTCTCTGTGTACGCATATGCAAGGAATTTATAATTATATTTATTAGTATACCTGAGTAGTTACCAACATTTAAAATATATACTTCGCTTTCATTTTCCACTGAAAATGATTCATAAATTGCATAAGCTGTCTCGTCTTCAAATGTTTCGAGGTCAACTCTTAATACTTTCTGCCCACTGGCTGAGAGACGATGAATCTTGTCCAAACCAACCAAACCAAAATTCCCCCAGATAAATTGCCAAATCCAGTTTTATAGTCAGTCCAGTCTCTGTAAAAGTCCTCAGAGCCATCTACACGTCTTTGAAATATAGTCAAGCCCCTCCCTGGAGTGGTTTCCATAACACAACGAACACGAAAAGTTCCCTGGCCGTCCGGTTCGATTGTATAAACCTCGGTGGCTGTCTTGCCTGATTTGAACAAGTCATTACAACTTTTTGCTGAAAAGAAAAAGAAAATTACTAAATCTTTACTGACCTCAACCTAAACTCTATCCTTAACCTCGACCTCATCTCTGCATTTTCAACTTATTAATCTCAAGCTAACCTCAAACTAACCTCAACCTAACTTGAACGTAACCTCGACCTCACTTCTGCATTTTTGGAACGAACCTTAACCACTTCTCGTTCTATTAAGCTCAACCTGACCTGAACCTAAACTCAGCATAATATCGAAATATAACTTCAACCAAACCTTCAATCATACCATATTTTACTGGTTCTTGTTTTTCTATTTTCTGCAATACAAATATATTTAATTTTGAATTATGAAGTTATACCATCCAAATATTAGATAAAATATGCGTATTCGATTTCTATCTCTGACAGGGCCGTAGCGAAGGGGGGTATTGGGGGGGGGGGGTTAACCCCCCAACTTTTTTAGAATTAAAATATTCGGAAAATCAGGTTGATCATTCGGAAAATTACGGCAGTAATAGTATAAAAAAATTTTAGTTGTTTAATTAAACAGAGAAAATATTATAAAATTGTATTGTCAGTATCATAAACTGATTTACAAAATCACGGCATTTACATGGACAACCATTTAACAAATCGTAGATCGGTAAATGTTTTTCGGTTTATTACTTCCCAGGGCCGTAGCAAAAGGGGGGGGAGGGGGAAAGCCTCAGCGGCTACATTACCCATGACAAACCGCAAAGAATCATATTATCCATATACGCCTTCGCCCATTTAGTTCTTCTAAATTGTAAGCAAATTAATTGTAAATTTTGACGCGCTAAAACTCTGTTTTCTAACCATCAGAATTCTGTCAAAACTTCCCCCATAGTCCACGAAATGGAATTTCAGAGACTCTAAATTTAAAAATTTCCTCTGGCCTTCGGCCCTCGCCACCCCCTTATAAAAAAGAACTTTCTACGGAATGCACGCTTCTGTAACATGCCTGTGCGTAAAATATGAGTATTTTTGTTTGAAAATTGCGTTTTCATTTTCCGGATAACAAACACCTTCGTGGCTTCGTATGTCATGAAATATTCGGAAATTTCTTTCGTCATTCGGAAATTTTTGGCCTATACACCCCCCAACTATGCATGCTTAGCTACGGCCCTGATCTCTGAGAAACTATCTAGAGAAATCGTTGTTTAAAAATATATCATTTCGACGTTGCATGCTGTGAATATCTAAGTAAAACTCAAAGGACTAAATTAAAGTCAACTAGGTACAGTATAACACAACCGTTTTATAGCATAACTTATGTTCATTCTGTTCAAAAAAAGATTGTCAGATTAATGACTTTCAAATGTTATTTTGAACATTCTGAGCCAATCTTTCATCACCTTAAGGTCGAGAAATAAGCGAGATTTAAAAAAAGCTTTTAAATGTTTTCCACGTCATTTGAAAAGTTCTTTCAGATAAGGGAATCTAATTTCTATATTCATGCTATTTCCGATCATATCCCTCAACAGGGCCGTTCCTAGACGCGTTAATGGGGGGGGGGGGTATATTCATATATTCATGCTCGCTACCGTAAAAACAATCGCTTTCAAAAGAAATCCGTCGGGCAGAAGACGAATATATGAACATACCCCCCCAATTATCACGCTAGGAACGGCCCTGTCCTTTAATTAAACGACCGAACTTGCCCGGCTTCAATGAAAATAAGGCCGAAGTTTGACGCTTAAACTGGACTGCTTAGAGCACAACATGCTCAAATATAAGTAATTGACTGTTTATAGTAAGTATATATATAGCCTTGAATCTAGCGAGTGTACAAGTGTTTCTAGTTTATTTTAATTGGCGCGCATAGATCGATCAATTGAAACAAGAATTTGAAGCAGAAATCTTAGTCTTGGAGAGTTTAACAGCGTATTTTTATCTAGAAATAGGCAAACTAGTTTAAAATGATCTACGTCTTATATTTCCTATCAATAACAAGAGAAAACAAGCAAGAATGATTAAGGTTCGACTGTCTATAGTTGAAGAAAATGCCTAATTGTCTGAGGATTTTTAAGGTTTTTTTGTGATTTTCTCGATATTATAGTCAGTATAATTCCGCGGTAACAAAAAGCCCCAAAATAATTTTTACATCAGGTTTTAGAGAAACAGTTTGTCTTTAAATTCCGTAAATTTCAAGGAAATTGGAGTTTTCCCGGATACGGAAAATTAATTTTCAAAAAGTGTAACAATTTAGAATTTTTTGGATCGCAAAAAAAGACGATTTTTACACGCTTGTCTTGACATTGAAAAATCATTTCAAAAATTGCAAATTGGACCCACGTTCTTTATAAACATCTTATAAACACGTGTAAAAACGAAAGGTGAGGTTTTATCACACGCCAATTGAGAAAAACGAAATTTTCGAGAGGCCGTAGCTCACAATGTTTTTTGCTAATTTCGCCAATCTCGGGTATGTGTGAGGTTTTGATAATTTTCGGCGTTTAAAATAATATTTCAGAAAACAAACCCCACCACGTTTCTGAGTACACATTAGTGTATCACTGGTAAAAATAAGAAGATTTTTTATTTTTCTTCATGTGCCACGTATTCTCGATTTTGCTCGGTTTTAGTGGACATTGCCTCTTAAGTTCAATTGCAAATCCGGTGTAACCATTCATTGGGTTAGCTAGTATGAGATCTGGCTGTCCACCTTTGTATCCCTTCCTCCAGGCATCACATCTACGTGAGCCAGTATCTTGGTACTCACCTAGTCCATGTACGATTACAGCATCTGTGTGGTTGTCTCTTATATACCTTACAACTGCATAATGAAGATTAGTTTCGTTGGTAAGTATCATTTGGTTATTCAAGTCAAGTCAAGTCAATTTATTTTAGGCAATAAAAAAAAAAAATGTTTACAATATCAAAGAGAAAAAAACACAACATTTTGTAAGGCAAGGAAACCCAAAAGAAACCATAAGGGCTTATGTAATTTGGGCCACCTAGATCAAACTACAGTAATACATATATAGCAAAATTTTAGTGTTAGCTGTAAAAACATATCGAGCAAGATACAATGTGCGAACGAACAAACAAAATTTGGATGAAAAGGAAAAATAGACCAAACAATTGGGATCAGGTTTTTGACAAAGCATAGATAGAAACTATATTACATTAATTGTGTGTTTAAATAATACAAAATTAAAGTCTAAATAAATATTCTTTAAGTTTTTTCCGAAAACCGGAGACGGATGAAGCATCATATATATTTTTGG